TATAATCTTATTTTCATAGTACATAAACTCATTACTACTCTATTTTTACTAAAAATGATTTTGGCCGTGCAACAAAGTTTGTTTATACAATGTAATAATTTTTTAATGAAAGGTATATAAATATATGAAATAAGTGTAATTTTAATATCGTATCTCCCTGTTGTTATACCGAGCATAAAACATAGTTAGATAGCTGATATATTTGATATTTTGATTATTTCTAACAGTAAAAGCTAGACTAAAAAAAAAAGGGTTACAAATATCAAAGGTACAGTTATATTTGCGACACTTAAGAAAACAAATTATCTATAAAGAGAAATCATATCGTAATGGTCAGTGAATGTCCGAATTGACCTAAACCCGTGAAATGTGTCAGTTGATGGTGTCAACTAATAAAAGTAAATTAAATATGACCCGTCGTTCATAAGAAACTTTTGATGTTACGCTTTCGAGAAAGGTTTGTATTTAGATTTTCAAAATATAATTATAATTGTAAATGACGTTGATGTACCGGTCTTTTCAGTAGCTATATAAAAAGCAATAAAATCGTATCAATAAATTATTTCCTTAAATACGAACTCATCATAGTCTCAATATTATATTTTGAGATCTCATTTACACAAAAAAAATGTTAAGCAAATACCAAGAGTGAATCGAGAAATATCCCATGTGTTTACTCACCAATATAAAATAGCCAGCAATCACAGCCAAAGTTTAGTCCTGTGTTGCTGTTAGCAAAACTGAACTATCTTATAACAAAACGATATGAGTGAGAAAAGAAACAAAATGGCCACAAATAGATTTTTGATATATTTCATATTTTAAATAAAATTGGACATAACTTGCACTGCCGGGACTGATATTAGAAACAGTTAGCCTATGAATATCATATGTGACGTGTTAATGACATCTCATAATTAGTTAAACTGGTATTATAACTCTAAATTATGCACATAATTATGAACAACATTCAGAACAACTCAATCCAAACTATTCTCTACATATTTTAAGATGAGATGCACCAAACATATTTGTTTGATAAATCTGATACAAATGATTTATACAACGAGCTAACAACTGAAATTTTTTGTAAATTTGATTTATTTATTTCATAGCAAAAACAAATCGTTTAAACTTTGAAAAGTTCAAAACGAGATCTCATATCGAACAAAAATCGCTGTTAATATGAGGAAGATAATGTAACATGAGAATATGGCAACAATAAATTTCGTGCAATTTTCAACTAATGTTGAAAATTATTGAGAATCTGGACGCTTGCCCGTCATTTGATAGGCCCAATTTGACTTAGATAGGAGATACGATGAAAATATTCAGACCGCTAAATGGTAACACTAAACTTTCATTATGTAACCCACAAGCTCTAATATAAAATAATAATGCATTTATTTAATAGTTTTTCGTATAGAGTTGCATATCGATATATAGTGGGTGAATTTTTACGTTTTGCTCTTGTTTTAGGTGAAGATGTTTTATCATGAAAATTGGTGAACATTTATCAGAAGGCAAAATGAATGAACACATATTAATATGACGGCTAGAAAAGTTATTCATTTGTCAACAACTGTAGTCAATCTCTGGGCTTCATTGTATAACAGGTAGATTGCAATTTGATTCAACTTCGAGACCTTGTTACTTTCTTCTTACGGAAGAGAAGAAAAAATCCAACAATATAATAAAGGATTTTGATATTCAAACCAAGTTATATGAATTTTTCCAATCGCAAAAACAATCTGACGAAGGCGCGTTTTTCAGGATAATTCGTCAAATATCCATTACAATACGTCTAATGTTGATTTTCAGTTCTCTCCAAACTAAATCATTCTCAATATTTTGGCGAGCGCTAAGAATGAATGTACCTGTGAAAACTTAATTATAAACTCGAAAGTGAGAATAGGCGTATCAAATTTTCATTTCAAACAATATTAAAAAGTAATTCAACATGGGAAACCTTATAACTTTTCGCATGAAGTGAATTCAAGTGATATTTAAAACTTATGAAGATATCAAAAACCTTATGAATTATCCGACTAGATTACAAACACTAATAATATGTTTTTTTTTTTATAAATTTTCGGAATTTCATCGAGACGACGACACCTACAATTATTTAAATTTCTTAAACATGAAGTTTTTAAGTATATACTATACATGAATCGTTGTTGTAAACGATGATCCACGCATATTACATATATGGCAAAGTAATCTAAATAGGAAATAAAATAATACGGATAGACGTTATACGTGATAATCGTTTCCAGTAACGGCAGATGTTTATTCAAAATTACCTTTACATGTGATAACATTACAAAACGGTGTAATCCTTTATGACTTATCTAAATATACTTTTTGTTTATAGAACAATTTGTTTGTTATGTTTATTAATGGTTTATCAAGAGAAGTTGGCGTGGTAAGAGATATTCTATACAAGGAAATAAACATTTTGATATGGATTAGTTCAATACTTCAAAGAACCTGTTAAGTCTAAGTAGGGTACTTGATTACATCATAATATTATATTGTTCAACATGCAAGCTGTCAGTTTATGAGAAATTATATTTTCTATCTAAAAATACAGATTCTTGAACTGTTTTCAAAGCTGCATATGGGTAGCTCAAAAGTGAATATATGTCTCAATATTTTTCGATAACAATGAGTGTGGAAACGAAATCATACAACTTTACATTCTGCGTTAGCCCTACTAAAATTCACGTGACAGCTTGAAAATCAGAGCTTTTTTGTAAAAAATTGCCAAAGCAAATCAAATCGCGTCAGTCGTGGGCGAGAGTGGATTTAAACGTTCACAGACTCGATAACCGTATATGGATATTTTACTTGAGTAAAGAAAATAAATTTATCAAATGGAATTGTACTTTCATCGCTGTTATTAATAAAGGGTTGATTTATTTCTTTGTTTCATAATAATGAAAATAAATGAACAAGATGAAAGTATGACACTTGACATAATATTTTCAAGTGACGCAGTTCATCAAGATATCATTGGAATAGTCACATTAAATATTTTACTATGATTAGACTCTTCTAGTTTAAAACAATCATTCGCCATTTCGAATTCATCAAACGACACAAGCGACGTTATTTTTGCCATAAATGCGACAATTTTCGAAATTTAATGTTTTTATGTGCATAAAATTATTACTAACGTTACTTAAAATTATAGAATAAAATTAGTACAAACGCTTTGAAGTATTTTAAAATGCGATACCCGGCTTTAGTACAGTGAGTCTGCATGTTTTACAAAGAATTTGAGAAAATGCTCCGCTTCACTTATGACAACTTCAGGTCAAATAGAATATATATTCATTTTTCTTAACCTGAACTAAAAACACAAGAAAATATTTCAAAAGGACATATTCCAAGTCTGGCAACTGGGATTTACTTTTCAGCAGATCGCATCTTTCCTTGTTGGGTTCTACATAAAATAAGATGTGTAAGAGGGCCATTTTGGTACCTGTAACAACTCCTATTTCCCATTAGTGGCGAAATTAAACCCGCTATAAAGGATATAAAGATAGACTACAAGCAGTGTAACGTTACTCAACTAATGGTATACTCTCGGGCCTTCGCGTGAACCACAGCAATTGTTATGACTTAATTTACAGTAGTTATAATGTCGTGGAGGTTGATTTCGAGGCGGTTAAATTCAAGTGTAGCCTACCAAGTGCTGACTTGCATCTATAGGACGAAAACTTCCATTAAATAAAAATGAGTGAACTCATCTCGTTTAGTCTGATAAAACATGAACAATATTTAGTTTCATTTCATTGAGTTAAACAGTAACTAAAGTTATTCTATTGATTCATTACGAAATTTAATAGTAAAAACAATTAAAGTAAAAATGCGTCTCTAAAATACCAAGACTATTTCAATATTCATGAAAATATGTTGTGTGAATGATTCAGTTGTTTTTCCCACTCAAAAAATTATACAGGACGTGTCACATTACTCCCGACGATATTTTATCTAGCATCCACTTTTCTCTATTAATATTGTATTGCAAGGAAGTTCAAGTTACGTTGACGACCCAAAGATGATGATATAATATAGTTTAATAACAAGTATTTTCGGACAAAACGAATCATTCCCATTACGACATATTGGAAGATATGGCGGTGTGATGAAACACTGCGCTTCCAACTCAATTATTAAGCGTAACATTACACCCACTAAATCAACTATTCCACGCTAAATTAAATATGGCGACTATCGCTACATCGTGCCATCGAGTAATCTCTATCATGTGCTATACAAGAAAAGAAGGAACGAGTTATACCAAGAAGAACAAGTGTTGAGCATTGGTGGAACTCGCATCCTTTGTGAATTAGCATGTCTCTCTCTCATATTAGAAACTCCGACTAGATTTGTACCTGATATCTTCGTGTTACTCATATCTCATATTCAATATGACAGACTTGTATAAGATATTTGGAACGAATTCTTATAATTTTCATCTGTTTCGTTTTTAATATTTTCGCCAATAGTATGAATAAATAAGCCTTTTTAGTTAAGCTCTGCGTTAAAAATCTGTGAGATCCCTTCATCATTTAAAATTATTTTTTATTTAAATTTGTTGAATACACTATCATCGCCGAATTCAAAACATTATACCAAGGAATTCAACACAGTAGGCGACATTAGTACATGTGATAAGTTTCATTTTTATGCTATCTACAAATATTTCTGATTTCGATTATCTTGTCTAGATATCGCTTTTGTCAAAAATGTAAAAGTAAAAACAAAGAGATAACAATTGTCGTTGGTCGGATATGTAAACGAACCCGTCGACAAAAACTTTGCCCGGAGAGAAAATGCGAGACATAAAATTCCGCGGCTTGAGAAAAAGGGATTGAGTACGGGTAAGAACGGAATGAAGTCGTGGTGTTTAAATAGACGATTTCCTTTGGGCGAGTTTCATTACTATATAAATTCATCTCAAGTCGACATAATTTTTAGTAAATTATATCAATTTTATAAATTGTTTTTCGCATTTAATTTTACTCTTCGCGTTCTGTATAAAAATTCTTAATTGAAGCACAGTAGCAAACGGTCAGGCAAAATTGGACAGGGCAGTCAACTAGTAGTGATATTCAAAGCGGCCACTGACATGCTAAGATTATATATATATATATATTCCTGATAAACAGTGTTAATATTGCCTTGCATAATACTAGAAACAGTTAGGTTTTTCTTTCAAGACAATAGTCAGAACAGTGGCGAAACAAAATTCTGATATGGACAGATGCGAACCTATTCGAGTGTGGTAGATTAGTCGAAATCGTTAGTGACTGAGTAAACTCTTAATACAGATCATATGTTGAGTAAACTAAACAACTTATAATATAAATTGAATAGAATAAGCTTGGCTGGTCCTCAATTGTTGTCAATTTTTTTTGTAAGTAAACTATTTGTTCGGTATGTCCATTTGAACTCATCAAAGGAATCAAAAAATAATTATGATTACACGATTATGCGGTGTCAGATGCAAAAATTTGAGGGTCACGTTTTTGTTTGTACTAAATGTGTGTTATGCTTGAAAAAACTAAGATACTAGCAAGTCATAGGTCCGCTACGGGTAATAAAATATTCATACGGGCCGTTTGGAAGGCGTGAATGTTTTAAAATAATGTCCTCGCAAAATTGTAAAGATAATTGGATGTTTATCCTCCAATCTTTTTGCGTTGCTTAACAAAACATCAACTCATCTCTCATTTTGTTGTTCAGCAGTTGAAAAAGTAAAATTCAAATTTTAATCGAGGGTGAGAACAATTTTCTAGAATTATAATACGCTTAAACGACGTCGAAGTTACGCAGTAAAAGAGCGAAAAGTCACGATGCTTATAAGCCCAAATCACCCGGGTGCAGTCGTCATACCTTCACACAATATGGCAAAGACAAAGCTGGGATTCGACATTGCTTCTCTGGTTGCCAGCGATGATAAAGACAGATTAGATCATTTGAAAAACAAAAAATCTATATTTGTTTCTGCCTTTGGTAAGTCAGGAAGAAATTCACTACATGAGAGACATCATCCATACATGAATGGAAACGTTGAACAATTTCATCGCAACCGCGAAGAAAAGTTTAACAAAGATGCGGCAAAACACTTTAGTCAGTCATTAATGCATACGAGCTTTGATAATGCACAAGAAACCCAAGAAGAAAGAAAGAATAGAAAGAGTAAAGACTGGAATAGAGATAGAGCAGACTCCTGGTCAAACTCATCAAGTTCTCCACTTGGTCGAAGACAATCTACAGATAAAGATATGTATGTAAGAGAAAATGGAACATTTACAACTAGAGATTCTCCGCCAAAGATCAATCGTACTCCGCACCTTCCATTTTCAGTATCACCACCTCAAGCCCATTCAAATAAACATCGCGCATCTCTGTCGCCTCGGAGCGATATTTCCTCCAATTCGAACGGACCTGACGTAGAAGACAAAAAATCGCGTTCTATGTTACCAGTGCTACCTATTTCGCATCAAACTACATCGCCAAGCGGAAGTGATCTACGACATACCTCTCCGAACTCTAACCAATTCTTTTCTGGCCCACTACCTTCTCCGGTAGGATGTCTATCGATATCCCCTCAAGGATATATGCACCCGATGGCCCATGCGCCCACTGATGGACCAGGTAACATGATGGACCGAATTTTATTTCGAGCGGCTGCTGCTGCCGCGGCGGGAATTGGCGGTGGTTCACAAGAGCAAAGTTTGCCTCCGGTATCCATACCACACACGTATATGCCGTCATTACCACCAAATCCAGCGGCAATGATGCCCATGGACTCAATGATGGGCGCATCAATGAGAAACCCGTTTCTTCCAGGTGCTCCACCACCATTCAATCCATGGCTTATGAGGCAGGGAAGAAGTCTTCATCCAGCACCGTTTGCCGGTAATTAATATTTTTATTTTAATCCCAAAATTCAGTATTTTTATCAAAATGTATGTTTTCAAAAATTATAGTTAAAATAGGGGAATGGGCAAGCTCACCTAAATATTCATGCCGAACTCTAACCATCTTTTTATTTCTCGAATAATATATTTTCTTAAAAGTTCATAATAAAATTTTTGTCGTCAAGAAACACTTTATCAAGATAATGCCAATTTCTTTGAAACTAAAATTAATTACAGCCTGACAACGTAGCTACCAAATGCCTCGATGATATAAATTACTCTACGTCTTTCAATTACGATTTTCAAACACAATTTTAAAAATCTGCCGTCGTATTATTGGTAATAAAAACAACTCGTTAAAGATATTCTTTCAAAAAATCACTAACAAAAAATTCATAAATTCACCCTAATTTAAATAGTATATGTATTTGTACTTTTCTTACGTAAACTTATGCGGCTCTCATTCAAAGTCCCATCTTTTTTTATGATAAATTTTATTATACGAATTATTCAATCGTTTAATTTAATAAAAAAATTGAAGTACTTTTATTTTTTATAATGTTTTATATTTGCCGTGTATTTTTAACAGTGATATTTTTGGAAGTATTTCAAACTGAACTTCGATTTTCAAACCTATAATTAATCATTTTATTAATTAAGAATTATATTCGAAATCATTTGCTTTCCAAAACCGAAACATGTCAAAAATGGATTTACAAAAATTCGTACTGAAAACTGTTTATCGTCCAAAGAAAAATTTCAAGTGGCGTCTATTTATTATAGTTCACGAATAATTACATATTTGATCGGCACTTCTTGACATTGTCGGCGGTGAAAACGTTTCAAAAATCGGGCAGCGAAATATAATAAAATGGCGGCTATGAAAACCTGCCACTCAGCGAATGAAAAATGAGATGCTACATAGTTCCATAACAAAGTTTGCAAGTCGAGCTGCCAATTACAATTTTTATCATGAATTTAGAAAATTTAAAAAATATTATATGGTATGATATTAAAAATTTTAATTAATATCAAAGATTATTATAGTTCAATTGTTAACTACATTTAATATGGTATTATTTCAAATGAATCAATTTTTTTTATTTTATACCCAATAAATATCAGTAAATATTAAAGTGGATTATCGTTGTATTCAAATTTTATCTATGTATATATATATATATATGTATTTTATGCATTGGGCGTCTATATCAAACGAGAAAAAAATCACAGAAAACAATAATTAAAATATATTAAATAATCGCCCAAACTTGAATATGATAATCCATACAAATTTAAAAGTTTTGCAGATATGAGGTATCGCTTGACTTGTTGTTTAGAGCGACGTGTAAAATTTGTTAATACGGTCATATAGAATATGGCATTCAGAACTTTGTTGACAATAACATTTTTCTGTTTTTTTAGATCCTTTACTTCGAGCCCGTTTCGGGTTTTTGATGTCAAATCCTTTTCATCGTAAACCGAAAAGAATAAGGACTGCATTTACACCGGCTCAGCTTCTACGCTTAGAACATGAATTTGACAAAAATCATTATGTAGTTGGTGCTGAAAGAAAACAACTTGCAAGTTCCTTAAAGTTATCTGAAACACAGGTAATAGTGCTAAACCATTATCGAAAGAGTTTGAATCTTTTAAAGATTCATAGGAGATTAGAAGTACAATGAGAAAATTTACTTGCAAGTATGGTAGCATGGTTACAATTTATATATCCACATTTTTAAATCATAAATAGACCATCTACGTTGTAAAGAAATTGATTATGATAATAATGCTTCAATGTATACAAAACGTTAATACATATTTGGTATTATTTTAGACTTTAAATTGAAATTTTTCACTAGTAATGTAGACTTCTTTGAAAAGTTCGACTTGAAAAAATTGTAAATAAAACCAATTATGCACCAATAAATGTATCAGAATATCAAAACCAGATGTGTCAATCCGTTTAAAAATATATTAATTATTGATTACTGGTCGGTTATAGCTTTCTTCGTTATTCAGAGCTTGGAAACAATAAATTAGTTCACTATTACGATTTCCGACGATGACTGGTAATCTAACCAGAGGTCATGGTTTTTAAGATAATTATGTTTTTTCCATCTATCTCTTCAAGGCAAACACGAAGAAAATTCTTTTCTTTCTTCCAGGTCAAAGTATGGTTTCAAAATCGTCGTACAAAATACAAAAGACAGAAAATCGAAGAAAAAGCTGCCGGAAGGAAACATAAATCGGAACCAACTGACGAAATTGAAGAACCCGATGAAATTGAACTGAACGAAGAAGATGAAGCAGAAATTGACAGGGAAGAAGAAGAATACGAAAGAATGCGTCAGCAACAACATCAAGACCGGATTATTGGAAATAGAAATAATTCATCAGATAATTTAATAAACTCACATCAAATTCATATCAAGAAAGAGAAATCGGATGAAGAAGTGTTTTGAAATGGCAGTGGCAATATTCATTCAGAATACCTAACTGAACTAATAGTATTTTCCAGTAAAAGTTACAAAAACCAATGCATCAGTTGGATTTACCCAAATGAACAAAGTGTGTCCTAAACAAAATCAAAAAATTGATTCAATGAGAAAATGAGTTGTATTATTTGAGAGTTTTATTGTTTTTGAAGCTTTTTATGCCTTCATTTTATAATATGCTTTTTAGAGTTACCCACTGAGTGAAATCGCGGATAGTCAGAAGTATATCTGCTTTAGTCTTACGATTTCTCAATATGCAGGACCGAATTGTATTTATAAAATGATCTCGAATAAAAAAGTTATTCCAGATATAGAAATGCTGTCTCTTTGCAGATTCAACCAAATAAGAAATAAGACTGAAAAGTTTTGTACTTTTTTTCACATTTGTCACTGTTCCGATAAGCATTATTTTTGTCATTTCAATTTTTCACTTTCTTATTTTTTTATTATTTCATTTGATATCATGTCATCATTTTTCATCGTTATTTTTTCTATTTCGTTTGTCATTGTCAAACAATTGTTTTGTTATTACGTATTTTCATTCGAATCCAATCAAGATTTGAATCATGGAGTCAAAAATTATTTATTGATGTACAGTCAAGCATGGTGCATAGATCGCAAAGACCATAATTTTTAGAATGTTATGATAGTTATTACTACTGTGGATTCATTTTCAGTGAAAACCTCTAGGCATTTCTAAAATATACAAAAATTACAAAACATTGCTGTTTTAGGTATGTGGAAGATTGAAAAGCCTAAATATGATATCTACTTTATACAGATAGCTTGTACGAACCATAAAGTATAACTCAATAACTCATAACTAGCTACGCTTAAAAGTAAGAAAGCTCACTCGAGACTTGTAATTCAACGCTGAAGGATTACAAAATCGTTTTGGAAAATGATTCTGCACAGCAACACCGTCTAGTGTTTGTAAATATCAAGATTATTGGAATGCCATTTCTATCGTTACGATAACATAAACATTTAGAACTATATCCAACTAGTGTTAAAAAAATATTATTCAAACAAAATCTATCAACAATTCTTATAGCTCAGGGATAGGGTAAATTCCTAATTAACATACTTTCCGGTTATTCGTGGAGTGTTATAGGCGAGTGCTATACATCGTACTGTGTAAAAATGTTCTAGATTTTTAAACGTTTTAAAGTAGTAACAGATATCTACTTTGAAAACATTGAACTTCCTTTTCATACGTAAGAGCAAACAATAACTTGTTATTGGTTGTTGTAGGGGCGTAGGCCGTAGGCCTACATTAGTTGTGTATTAGCGGTCCGCTTCTGATATCCGAAATAGAAATCTCAACAAGTATACATATTAAGACAGATTATTTTTCTAATATTCAAATAATATATAGCCTTGACACGCATTTTAAGACCGAAATTTATATTTCGTGGTTGTACGCGCCCTTTCTTCAAACGGATTTACGAGAATATTTAGTTTTTGCGTCTTTTCATGTTGTTGCGCAGATGAAACAATTTATTAACAATTTTAAACCGTTTACAGTTTATCAGAGTGAAATAACAAAACAAATTGCCGAATTAAATTCATAGCAAAAGTATGAATTTTGTTCATTATGACATAAACCTAGGTTTCCTCGGAAACAACCGCCTTAAGCATGGCGCAACCCGCGGGTGCTGTATTATTTAATCGATTATTTTCGATTGTATACATGTATACATAAGTAACAGCTATATCTCTGTGATCATTAAGATTAAAAGAGAATAAGACAACGCGCTTTATACATCGCGAATAATTAGCGTTAGAACGAACACTTCTTGTGATATCAGAATTGATTCCCATAAACATTCACAGCTTATATTTACGTATTTACAGCTTGGGATCATTTAATCGGTTAATGGACTTATTAGGTACAATTTGACGCCGATACAATCTTGTTGCGTTTGTTTTGACGGTTCAAGGTCGGCGCGAAACGAATTTTTGTCTCGTACATTGACAGAAAATCAGATAATGACGATCTGGCAAGTATAAAACATGTAATCCTCGACAGCCGTTGCTAATTGCCTAGCTACTTGAATTAATCTGTATCTAAGAGATCTAGAATCTCTCAAAAAAAATTGGTAAATATACAATATATATTACCGGATAATTTTAAATATACCCACCATGAAGTATTCATAATGCATGGGCAAGAACTCAATAGGCAATTTGTTAGTATTAAATGTACCTCTTTGATTGTATTGTTCATACTCATTTCAAAATATATCTTCTAACCTCTCCACACAAAATATATGCCGGCTATTTGTCGGTTTTTATACATGTGTTTCCGATATTTAAAGCAAATAACTCGATGGTCATTCTTTTCTTCTAGGAGTTCTAGTTTAGTTGTAGTTACCAAACATTATTCACATAAAAACTGCCCGCGAAAACTCGAAAATAAGCATCATAAATTTTGCAATGGTAAAGTATAAAATGATAACACAACATTTTGTTTGGACTGTTTGCTTCACATTTTCGGTGAAAAGTTTGGCATTTTTGTTTGGTAGAAATCTATTTACTTGCTTGGGCCTAATAACCTATAATGTGCATCATGAAAGGAAAGAGCCGGGACAAATATATGAACATCCAATTTTCACTACCGGTATAGACATCGCTTTCACAAAGAACCTTGATATATCAGCAGAAAAACTATGCAAAGGCATTATTTTTGTCAAATAAGCAACCAAATAAGCAATAGAGAATTCGAGTTAAAAATACCTGTGTTACCACGCAGCGTCGCATGATACAGTGTGATTCATTCGAGGTACGATCCAACGTAGCCTACGCCCTCACATCACCCAATCCTTGTTGCATGTGAGACGACCACGTCTATAACTCTGTTTTATTCTGTTCGCCCATATTTATTCTTACCACTTGAGTCACTAGTGAACAACTGTGTAACTTTCTCTTGTAGCTGGTTAGTCAGACTGCCGGCAGTGTAAATATTTCCTCTGTGTATTAGGTTATTATTATAGTGTTTTAATGCCGTAAATCTATGTAATTCTTGTTGTAAAATGATATTAGTAGTACAGGTTTACTATTTCTCCAGTTTGGCATAGCTCTGTTCACTAGTTAGCTTGTATTTACCACTTCCGTAACTAGTCTACTTTCGCAGTTTATTTCCTGTGTGATTTCCGTATTTCTATGCGTATTTCCATGTATAGGCTATTACGTGTTTGTCGATAAGATAGGATTTGTGTTGTATCTTTAATGTCATACTAGTTATTCTTATGTATATCTAGGTATGTTTTACCCGGTTTTTAGTATCCCATTATAAGTAAATAGTTCATGACTGTGACGTCATAGACCAATTCCGTATCTTGTATTACGTTTGTATCCTACGGTATTTGTACTGTGTTTTTATTTGTTTATTGTATTTCTTATTGGAGTATTTGGTTGTATTAAGGTGTATAATTAATCTAGTTAGTTAAATTAGTTACTCTGCTGTATTTGGAACCGCAAGAAGATTATTTCGTGATTGACATCTAGTGCAACTTCAGTGTCCAACAAGCTGGCAGAAAGAACCTGAGTGGTGATATCAATTTTGGTACGCCACATATACGAATTTTTGGCGAGCACACGCCAGGATTTATTATTTGACACAGGGACTATTACGACTAAGCCGATTAGGTAGGCTAGTCTGTGACGGATAATATTTGGACAATATTGGAAATTTGAGGTTGCCAATTTTTTTTTAATTGCGGTTGCCTGATATTTTGGAAAATGGTTAAGAGAAGAAAGATTGTACCAGCACCAAAGGAAGCCGAAGAGGAGAATGAACTCTTGCATCTGCAAATACAGGTATTGAAGGCGAAATTGAGGGAATCAGAGGAAAAGCAAGAGGATACTGACAGCCGTTTGCAGCTGATGGACAGTCGTATACAGCAGATAGACGGTTGTGTACAACAGATTGGAAGTCAACTAGAATCAGTTGAACTCCAAAATACAAAAATGGGCTCGTCTTTCGATAATATCTACAGCATGCTTCAAGATATTACTGGCATGATTAAACCAGGTGGAGTTTCTGATCCTGAGGAAACACAGCCCATGTCACATGACCCAAATGTCAGCCTGATCACTTCAACACCAGCAACGATTGTTCCAAAAACAGCGCCTGCTCTCAAAGATGATGAAATTTCTGATTTTGGATCAGAAGATGGACAGCCAGAAGGGAAGCGGAACGCGTTTTCGCAGACATTAGAAGTGAAATTTGCCGAGAATGGTCATGTGAGTAACCTTGCACCTACACTTCCTTTTTTGATCAATAATGGTAATGAAGGCCCAAATGTTGTCAGAAGACAACTTAGTACTAGGCCGAAAATGGTTACAGTGGCTACACAATCAGCTCCTCCAGTGAGCGCTAGCAGTGTCCTAAATGCCAATGTTAATCGTAGTGTTCTCAATAGCACAGCTAATGCTACGATGATGGCAAGAAATGCCAAAAAGCCGATGTATTTCGATGGGTCCACTGTCATGGCGTGGCCTAGTTATTTATGCCATTTTGAATTGGTTACCAGTTATAATCAGTGGGATGATGACACTGCGGGATTGGAATTGGCTACTTGCATGACAGGTCAAGCTCTAAATGTATTGAAAGATTTACCAGATATGAAACGTACTAGCTATCGTGATATTGTGGCTCATTTTAACCATTTCTTTAAACCTGCCGGAAATGAGAGTTCATATCGTACTACATTTCACTGTCGTAGGATTAAGCCAAATGAAGCACCACGGGATTATGGTAACAAATTGAAAGAGCTTGTTATTCTTGCTTACCCAAATCTTGATATTGCTGGTCAAGATGATATTTTGAAATCGCAGTTTCTCGCCGGTTTAACCGATGAAAGCATGATCAAACATGTTACCATGCAACAGCCTGATACTTTTGAAAAGGCTCTGTCTCTTGCGACACTGTATTACTCTGTTGATACGAACCACTCTAAGAGGAAAGGCATGCCTAAACCGCGCATTGCAGCAGTGAAACATTGTAATACTGGTAGTGTGGCTAACCAGCAAAACGACATATCTTTCGAAGGCAGTATTGGCGAGCGCATTCTAGCAAAACTGTATGAGATCATAGGATATGTTAAGCCGCGCACTAATAATCGCATTTTGATGGTACACCACGCAACCCGTGTCCTCGATGTGGTAAACATGGTCATTGGGGCAGGGATTGCAAGGCATGTTTTAATTGCAAGCAGACTGGTCATCTTAAACGGGATTGTCCACATCTTCAGAATCCCGCTGATCCTGCAACAGCTGCTTCCTCTTCGACCGCAAATTTAAACGACACTCAGCGGGCTTGAGGTCCTCAGTGTCCGCTGAATTATTACTTAATGACGGACCAACGAACCAGAATATAGACCTGAATATTTGTTCCTTGCAATATGACAATAGTTGGCATGCGAAGGTACTTGTAAACAATCAGCCGTTCAATTTCCTTGTAGATAGTGGTGCTATGACTACTCTGATCGACATTTCCATCTTTGAGGCTATAGGTGGGAAAGGAGCACAATTAGCACCGCTCGAAGAATCTCTTGTTGCAGTGGGAGGACATGATTTATCACCACTGGGTACATTGGAGGTTGATTTATCGATTGATTCGTTTGTATCACGACGCACTGTGATAGTTGCCAACTTAGGCATAACTAGTGGTATTTTAGGCATGGATTATCTCCGAGAACATGACTGTGTTCTTTACTTATC